AAGTCATCCTCACTTTCTGCCCTCAGAAAACATCAGGCGGGGCAGGAGGGGGGCAGCCATGGGCCTCCCGGAGGCCACATTTTCAGGGCCCTTGAATCTGGACTCCCCCAGGGAGGGTGCGGCTCTGGATCCTTGCACTGTCTGTGGGCAGAGCTGCCCCAAGGCTCTTGCTGGAGGATTCACTTAATCAGTTGTCTCAGGCATTGACAGATCATAGCCGCCCCGCCCTCTACCCCACAGCCTGGCCCACCTTAGCCAGAGGGACATTTTAAAACACAACCTGTTCTTGTCCCGCCCCTTCACGCTCCCCATTCTTGCACTTGGCTTCAAACTTTTTTTCTGGGCATCTACGAGACATTTCCCTGGTTCTCCTCTGACCTCTTTGGCTGCCTCTTCTTAGTCTCTGTGCCTCTTCCTCTTCTTCTCTAGGAATCCAACTTAGAAATGTTGGCAGACCAGGACTCTGTCCTCTGCCCTCTTCTCTTCCCAAGCTCATCCTCCTCATTCTCTCTCCAAGGAATAGTATCTCATTCTGTGGCTTTAAATGTCATCTACATGCTGATTCAGTGTCTTTCTGCTGAGCTTCACAGTCAGAGATCCTTATTCACAACTGGGGTGCTTACCTGACATTTCCACGTGGGTGTTTAGTAGGTGTTTCATACCTAACGTGCCCAACACAAAAATGCTTGATCTTCATTCCCCTCAACCCAAACCTAATCCTTTCCCCCCAGTCTTTCGTATCCCAGCAAATGGCACCTGGATGCTCAGGTCACAAACCTAAGTGTCATTCTCTTTTTTTTTTTTAATTGAGGCATAATTAACATAAAACATTTTATTCCAGGCATACAACATAATGGTTGGATATTTGTATATATTGCAAAATGACCATAAGCCTAGTTAACATCTGTCACCATATGTGGCTTACAGAGATTTTTTCTTGTGATGAGAACTTTTAAGATCTATTCTCTCAGCATCTTTCATATATACAATACCCTAGTAACTGTGGTCACCATACTTTAGATCCCCATGACGTATTTATTTGATAGCTGGAAGTTTATACTTTTTACCCCCTTTTACCCATTTTCCCTCTTGTACAGACAAACCTGATCCTCCCAGGGACTCTTAGGCTACAGCTCCCTCAACCTGGAGTGTTTTTCTCCCAGATCTTCAATGGGCAGCTCACAATTGGGTGTAGCAAGACTATGAGTTTTCCATGGGTGATGGAAGAGGATGGATGGGCTTGGGGTATTTTTCTTGTTCACCACTCAAGAGGGCTGCCTGCACCTGAGGGTACCTCAACAGTAGGAGGCAGAGGTTATATTACCAGAGGTAAAAGCTAAGGAGGATGCACGAGCTGGTGTTAATCAGAGAAGCAGCAACCACTGGGGAGAGGAACAGATATTTGGCCTTTCCCTCTTCCTGTGTTCCACTCCAGGCTACTGGAGGAGTGAGAGCCCAGAAGAGTGAGGATCTTTAACTCAGATAGGAGGGCTTTAAGTTTTAAAATAAACTGCATTACGATTGATTCTCCAAAAGGACCCAGGTAACTGCGACATCAGTGTGTCCAACTCCAACGCCATCGTCTTATATAAGTCTGCTACCCTAACTCTCAGTCTCTCATATACTTGTCCTGGAAGCTGGTTTATTTCCTTCTCTGGGAAAACAGCCAACTAAAAGCAGATATGTTGTTCATCTGCTAGAAATGGTCTGTGTTTACCGCCTATGTACTCCAGACCCTCTCCCGTCAAAAGGGTTTATAAATGCCCTGGCCCCCCCACCAGAGGCCTCAGAATGCAGATCCACTCAAAGAAGGCACGCAGGAGGAACCACAATGAAAACCCGGAGATGAGACACGCAGGGAGCTGCACCCCCACACCCCGCCACCCCAACCCAAATTGTTCCTAGCTGAACTAGGATGGCTGCCGGTCTGCATTCCATACAGTGCTTTGAAGGGTCTACCAACCAAGATGACCAGACACTCTGGATTCCCAGCACATACTCGGCCTATGCCTGCTGTCCTAGCCTCATTATTCGTAGAATTCCCTTTCTGTCAGTCTCACAAGAATTCCATTCTGGATGATAAATTAAATGGCGACTCTGCCAAATATCCACAGAAATCAATTGACCAAAGCAGTTTCAAGGTGTCCTTGAGCGAGTTCATGACAAAGACTAAGAGAAAAGCAGGCATGAACAGAACTCAGGCAATGCAGGAGAGCCAGGCCTGCACAGGGACTGTCTGCTAGGCTCCCTGGCACGGTGAGCAGCCCCAAAGAGGAGGTGCTGAGGACTGCATCCGAGTTCCTCCGGACACCCCGGGTGGCCGTCATTTACCCATCAGCTAGCACATGGTAGACATTAGAGTCCTTATGCCAGTGTAGACTTGTCATCCTCAATGAGTTCTGAACCAACCTACCTTAGGTAGTGACTCAGGGGTCCCTGGGGGCTTGCCCACCCACGGAACAAGTAGACAGAGTCACACAGAGTGAAGTGCATGATCTTAGCATTGCAGCTCACTTTCTAGGCTTTTTTTAAAAAATCCATTTCTGATCCAAAAAAAAGTAAAGAAAAAATACACATACAGCTCTGCCATTGACTGGCTCATATTCCTGAACCTTTGTAGCCACCCCCGCCTTTTTTTCTTGGACTAGCTCCTTTCTGAAATTCAAGCTTCTGAATAAAGTCCATGGAAAAAAATATGTCCCAAATTCTGCCACAACCTTCTGATTCTCAGCAGCAAATGACTTTCAAGCTTATTCTCTTCCGTTTTAACCTCTGGACATTTTCAAATTTGGATACAGGGTTAAACCCCAAAGGCACTAATACTTGACACCATTCAGAGCTTATCATTGTTTCTGCATCATCACCTTGACCAAAGACTGTTAGAGTAATCTCCAAAATGTGTTTATTAGAACACTAAACTCTTCATAGGCATTATATGAGAAAACAAGGGTTCTGTAATCAAAGATGTTTATTGAAATGCAGGCGTGCAGGTTTTAAAACATTAGCATGTCTCTTTGCTACTGGGCTCCTTAGAGCTTTCAATATGCAAACAAGTGAGTGAATCCCAGATAAAGAGGGGGGGATAGTTGAGAGGCACTGCCCTCCTCCTTGAGGATGATGCACTTTTAGTTCATGGTAAACAATCTGGAGGATGAGTGTTTACGGCACACGTTTTGGGAAATGTGTTCTATTAGCCTTACTAGGAATATATCCTTACAATGTATGACTAATACATGTAAAACACTAATTAGCAATATCACAAGTCCTTTTTTTACTTCAACTTCCGTGATAGTTTAGCATCATGCTTCCTTTTATTGCCACTGAAAAGATGGGCATGTTTAATTCCTTTGCCATCTTCTTTCCAGTTCTATGAGTTTTGCTGTTTACAGCACATGGGTGCTATTCTTTAGTAAATTACATCTACTGGTGAACCAAACATTGATACTATTTTGACTCTGTGCCATTGCCTACTCTTGCTGAGGGAAGTATCAACTTTGCAAAAAATATCAAAATCAAGAAATCAAGGTGCTTCATAAAAGGAGCATCTATTTTAAAAAACATTCAGTTCTGGGGTAGGTGTTTAGTGAACTTCTTTCTGCACCAAGGAAAAGCAAAAACAAAGCCCCTAGATCCCAGACAGAGAGATGGAGACCTTTCTTCTTTCTCAGGCTAGATTCCTGTTAGGTTCCAAGGCAAACTGCTGAACTCGGAAGACCCCTGGCAGCCCTACATCCCTTTGCTATACACAGTATTTCTTATGGGATCTGAAGAAAGCCTTATGGTTGTACATTTCTTGAGTGCCTTACCAGGATTATTCTTCAGAAAAGCTAAGAAACACAAGCAAAAAGCCCTCTGAGAAAGTTGAAGCATCAGTGTTATATCTGATTTTGTCCTTACAAATCGCCACATTGCAGGCTGAAATTAGCCAGTGTGCAAGCACAGCAAACATCTGCCTTGTAATCTGTTTGCTTTTTTTCTCCACTGATACATTTAAAAAGAAGTGCTCAGGCTGAGAGGCATAAATTAGAAACATAAAATAAGTCAGTCTTTTCTTTATATGATTATCATATTGATAAAACTTTCATAAAGGCATTTGTTGAAGTGATGATTCTGATCCATTTTACATCCTCCCAATTTTCACTTGTACTATTGTACTTGATTATATGTGCCTGCAGCCTAGAGTATTCCAGGAAAAGAGGCCCTTTTAAAGCTAAAGAACAAAAAAAAGCCATGTTGGGTTTTCTTAAAGCACCTTCCAACATTCTTTTTCTATAAAATAAGTAAAAGTTTCCAAATTGCACAAGTACACAGATCCCCAAAAGTACACTGAAAACAATTCAGAATAATTTTGATTAGGCTGTATGTCTGTGCCAGGCTCCAAACAAGTGGTTATTCTGTTGTGACATCTGCCAAGCAATGCCTCCATTGTTCTCTGGATTTTAATTCATTTAAAATTACTCTAGTGAAATGATAAAACAGGAGATGTGCTACACTCCAGGGGTAAAATGCAATGATTGTTTTTAGTGTGGCCACAACTGTCGGCTGGAAAGCAATACAGCCTGTTTCAATTAGGCCCTGATTAGTGTTTTCTGAAAAATGGCTAGTTTAAGACATGTGAGTGAAATCCTGTTAAATGGAAGGATTGGCATAGCGGATCTTGCCTCATCTGATGGGACTGCAAAGTTGGCAGAGTTGTATGCAGTCTTCCCAAGAAGTTGAGTGACAGTCTTCAGAAGAGAAACTATGTCAAAACTGAAAGCAGCTTGGATTACTGACTAACTAACATGTGTATAATATAGTTAACACATTCTTTTGCTGATGGAGAGCTAGTGCAAATGCTCACAAATTCACAATATTGTAACTACCAGTCTAAGAAGTATAGTGACAGTTCTGAAGAGTTGCATGGGGTAGGGAACACTGCCATCTGGAAACAGGAATGATTAGGCATTAAAAAAAAAGAAAAAATGAAGCTCAGGAGAAAATACACATATACACACACATAAGGCTTTAAGAATTTATATCTCTCATATGACACATATTTAATATAAATCTTTGAAACAAGTTCAGATGAAATAAACATCAAGGTTCTCAAAAAGTGAAAGATTAACTTAATCTCTAAATATTCCCTATTGCCCCAAACATCAGTATGTTTATTTCTATGCAAAAATATGCCTTCAATCTGCTTAAATGATACATGATACACAACCCAATTTCCAAATAATAAAGCCAGTCATCTTGTAATTTTTAAAAATTAGATAAAAGATATGATGCATTGCACACATACACACACGCGCACGCACACACACACACACACACACCAGTGACAAATTTTGGCCTCTCCTCAAATAAGCAGACAAAGACCATTAAGCACCACCAGAAAGGGTCATGGTGTCACCCCTCCCTACAATCCAGGTAGTTTCCTTTAATCCAATAGCAAATCTGGGCATATTTGAGAGGAGTGATTCTAACAGCCACATTGAAATCCTGTGGAGAACCATTCATGTCCACCCACTGGTGCCCTGAAAAGATGCCAATAATTTTTCGCTCCCACTTCTGCTGCTGCCTCTTCCACATCCTCACGTAGACTCCTGACCCACTGGCCCCGGGCTGGGCATCACACTGCTGGTAGAGCAGGTCATAGGTCTCATCTTTGACATCACAGAAGCGGTACACTAAATTGCCTGGTCGATCGTTGTCATAGCCAGAGAAGTGGATTCTGCCCCCTGGCAGCTGCTTGGCGGGAGGGCTTACCCCAATCTTCATGAACTTTCTTTTGTGGGGTTTTTTGAGTTCCAGGAGGGCATAGTCATAATCCATGCCAATGTCGTTAGCATTGCCCTTGATCCAACCCTTGGGCACATGGGTGCGTTTCACCCGGATCCACTGAAATTTCATCTTCTCTGGCACAGCTGAGGTTGAACTGTTGGCCCCTCGACCACCATCTTTAAACTTGGGCTTCAGGAAGCCCACTCGAAGTTTCTGGGTTCCTTTTACATAGGTTTTCCCATCATGTATGCAGTGGGCAGCTGTGAGGACATGCTTCTCTGCCACCAGCGTGCCCGTGCAGCCTGTAGATAACTTCACCGAGGTTGAGAAGGGGTAGTTGAGCAGGAAGTCCTTCCCAAAAATGCTGAATCTGCTGTCGTAGCCATAAATCTGCCGCTTCCTCCGAGACCTTCCTGAGGACTCACCCCTGCCACTGCTGAGGACATAAATGCCCACCTGCGTCTCCGTGCGGCTGCCGTTGGCATAGAGCGTTTCATAGGACAGGTACTGCTTGGCCTCATTGTAAGTAGGCAGTGGGTTTCCTTTATGACACTGGGGTCCACATGAGGAGGTCACTTCCAATTTGGCTTCAGCTTCAAAGTCGGGCTTGGCTAAGTTGAGGGTGGACTGGGGCAAGACCACAGGGAGGCGGTAAGCAGGCCAAGTGGGTTTCCAGTGGACACTGTAGGGGCTCACCTGGCCGACAGCACAGAGGAGGAGGAGGAGGAGGAGGAAGAGGAGCCCTGGAGCCCCTGCCATGCTGAGCACCACTCTGTGGGAACAAAGATAAGCAGGTCAGGAGGGCAAGGGGCTGAGTCCCTGTCTGTAGTCGGAAGCAGCCCAGCAGCATGCCTGTCATTGCTTCTAAGCCTGTGAACCTTCCTCAGGAATCAGGGTGTGGAGAGGAATCCCTAGATAATGGTCTCACTTACAAGGCAAGAGCTTGACCTTGGAACATTCCTGCAGCTGGGTGCCCAAAATGAAACTGGGTGTTCATTCCCTTCTATGTTTAAGATGCCCCCAGTGACGGCCCACCGCAGGGCAGTGTGCATATAATCATTCATCCCCAGATGAACTGCTTGACCAGCCCCAATTTCCATGGCACTTTGAGCCTTCTTTGTGCTTGATTCTAAATCCTCCTCTCTCCCTGGTCCCCTGCCTTTCTGTTCTCATTCTCATTACAGCGCGTACTTGAAAAATTTTCAGTGCTCACGTAGAGGGTAAATTTAAATTACACAGTTTGCTGAGCAACTAAGGCATGAAGGAGGGTTGGCTCCACACTGTCACACTTACAGGGACTCCTATTGCTCCTCTGGTGAGTGATTCAGAAGAAGGCATCAGACTGTGTCTGTGTGTGTGTGTGTGCTCTGAATTTAGAACAACCTTAATTACATGCATACCTCACAGATATTTCAGGTTCAGGTTCCAGACCCCAGCAATAAAGACACTATCTCAATAAAGTGAATATTATGATAAAGTGATCAGCATAACAAAGCAAGTTAATTTTTTGATTTCCCAGTAGATACAAAAGTTATGTTTATACTAGACTGTAGTTTATTAAGTGTGCAATAGCATTATGTCCTTAAAAAGTACATACCTTAATTAAAGAATGCTTTATTCCTAAAAAATGCAAACCATTATCTGAGCTGTTGAGTCATAACCACTGATACATCACCATAAAAAATACAATAATAATGCAGAAGTTTGAAATAGTGTGAGAACTACCACAACGTGACGAGACACAAAGTGAGCAAATGCTGTTGGAAAAATGGTGCCGATAGGGTTGCTTGACATAGGATTGCCACAAATCTTCAATTTGTAAAAAATGCAATATCCGTGAAGCACAATAAAGTGAAGTGCAATACAACAATGTGCCTAAATTATAAATTTAGTATACTCTCAAGATATTTGTGAAAGACCTAAAGCTCTAATGTTGCACCTGGTATCGCATTGTAATTTTGGTTACCTTTTCAGATCTTTGTATTTGTGTTCCCAGCTAATGCCTTAAATTTATTGAATGAATGCTTGTCTTGACAGAATAGAATGAATGAATGATTCATGTGGCTAAAAAAGTGCATTTTTTGAATGATGCATGTTGAGTGCTGATGACAGAGATGTATGTGATGACGTGGCAGCTCAGAGAAAGAGCAAGAAATCCAGCTGTGGGGAGTAAGGAGAACCGGGGAGGCATTCCAGGGAGGGGATGCATGAGATGGGTGTTGAAGGTGAATAGAAGTTAGATAATGTAAGACAGAGTAAAGGGGACACTACAGGAACAACAGTCTGCATGGCATGGAGACATACAGCAGTACAAATAATTTCAGAAATTATATTTAGCTCAGCAAGAGTGGAACAGGAGTCATGGAGGCAGCTGGCAAATGCCAAGTTATACAGGGCTGTACATACTAAACGAAAGAGTTTGTAGTTTATCCTGAAAGGTACGTTTAAAGACATGGATCAGTCATCCCCCCCACCCCCACCCCCACCCCACACACAAAGAATGCCGAAACTAAGATTGGAAGTACTTTCATAACATTCAAGCATCAGTTGGCTCTGATTGGCTCTGATTCTTCTGTCCATGAGAGGCTGACATAGCAGGTAGGGTAATGCATTCACAATCAAGCACCCCAAAACAAGGACAAGGAGGGACTAGGTCTCAAGGGGCTAGCAAAGCACAGCAGGAGTCAAAAAGAAATGGTGTCATTATTCTCATCCTCTTCCTCTTTCAGAGCACAGACCTGCCAGCAACATTTGGGTGCCTTTTGCTTTCTTTTACATGAAACTGGAAAATCCCATTGATCTCCTCTAGTTGAGCAGTCATATCTGTATCGCCAATAGCCACACACTACATTTCTGAAAAATGAGCTTGCTCCAACCACCTCCGAGATCTTTTTCCTTGACTCTTTCTCTGATTCCATTTCCATCAGGGAGAACACGGCTAGGAAGAGAAAGGAATGCGCTCCTAGAGAAGCCAATTCCTTGAGACTTCCTGACTCCTTGAAACTGTTCCTTTTCATTTTTCCAAACAAGAAGAGTCCCTCGGCCCTTTTGTAGGGAGCAAATACATCTCATTATTTCTTCAAATCCTTGAAATTGAATCATAGGGTACATGTGTATGTACGTGCACCTGTGTTTAATTGTGAATGTTGGGTTATTGCCAAGACCAAAGGTTCTGACTGGATGGTGTGTGTGTGTGTGGGGGGGATGCTAATGCTAGCAAAGCCCTCCTTCCCAGTGGGGACTTTGGGGTGGGATAAGTGTGGTGATGGCAACCCTCTGGACACTTTGGGAGGTGGCTCTGTGTTTGATTATCCCCATCGCCTGGCTGAGGACCCAGCCCTTGGATATATGTAGGGTTTGGACAGCCTTTTCTCTAGTAAGTTGCTGTCTAGGTGACTAACTGCCCCACACACCAGAATCCCTGCCAAATGTGATATGTGGAGGAATTATGTGTCTCCCACAGGACTATATCTGGACCCCTACATACCATCTCCTCCCCTCTTTGACTGATACAGAGAATGTTGACGTCTGCTAACACTGAGCAGCAGATGCGTTAAGCCAACTTTTACTTCAGCTTATCTATGAAAGAAAATACAGAATCCAAAGGTTCAAGCTGCCAAGTGTTCCTTTTTTCAAAATGTAATTCCTTGGGGAAAGAGGAAAGGTGAGATAGTATTACACTAAGTTGTAGAAAATACTTTCAGTGTGCATGAAGAATATGACACTTAGAATATGCTCACATTACCATCTAAAGCACACATTCAAATCCCAAATCTGAAATGGGTATGGTAGTTGGATCCTGTGAGTACAGAGTTTGAATTATCCACTGCAGCAGAATTGCTCTAGTGGTATCTGTCTTTAGCTTTAACCATTAATTCAAACATTGAAATAGTCCACTGGCAAGGGTGTCAGGAAAAAGGATGGCAGGAATTTCTAACTAGTTCAGATACGCATTAAAAAATACATCTAGAAACCTTGTCTTAATGAATTAACCCCCTCTCAGGCAAAATTAACTCTAATTTTACTTTTTCAAGTGTTTTGCCTATATACCAAACCCCAAACCTCTGTTTAAAACATACTTTCAAAGACCTTGAAGCATGCCTTATTCCACCATGGCATATCTTTTTTTTCCCTTGGGGGTGGAGGGTGGGAGACATCTGTCTTTCAAAGAGAAAAAAATGGTTTTAGAAACCAGTTCCAAAGACTTAGTGAGTATGAAGAAATGGAATCAAGTCTTTTCTCAGGTATGAGCACTGGACAGTCAGCCTGGCTCTCTCACTAGCCACAGCTTCACTCCAGCCTCAGCACAGAGGCCTGAATTTGCTCTTCAGCAAAATGATGGATGACTATGCCAGAGGCCTTTGGAATTACTTACAGATCACAGAAAAAAAGAGTCTACTGTAAGTTGACTCGTCAGTCAAATCTCTAGTAAGTTGCTGTCTAGGTGAGTCTACTGTAGAATATTACTAGAATATTAATAAATATTATCTAATGAATATCAGGTAATACTACTAATCCAGAGTCCTTCTAATTTAAATTCTGGTCATTTAGCCAGTTAGGGAGAAGCCCACCATCTGTAAAGGACTGCTACACCAAAACGGTAAGGTGAAGCTTTAGTTCTTTAGAAATTAACTTTTAATATACTCCCAAAACACTTATTTCTATTAGCTTGAAACATTGCTTGCAAGTTCCCTGTTATTACTTAAACTCAGTTGTTAACTGGTATGATAAGACCTTGTTCTGACATTTTATATCTTGATTAAAGTTTGTCACTCTTAAAACTATAAAACTGCATTCTGAAAAAAACCCTTTAATTCAGATTTAGAAATTAATGCAGACTCTTAAGAATGAATTCAGGTCAAATTATTTTAACTGATTAGGTTTTTAAATACCTGATTAGAAATTAGGAGATAAAGCTGTCTGTTTTCAGGCCCTCAAATGGCTTTAAACTGACAGTTGTATCAAAGTTGCAAGCTTCATAAATTGCTCACCACTTTAATCAAATGTGAGTTTAGGTTGGTTCAGACACTGTTCTGTATAGTGACCTGAGGATCTCTTCACTTTTTTCAGCTTTGGTCTTTGCAGGTCCAGTACTTTCTAATATTATAATTTTTCAGGGTCACAAAAGTCCAGGTCAGGTACTATGCCGTGTACAAACAGCGTCTCCACCACCAATTACTGCTCAGGGGCTTTACTCACAGAATTAATGGAGGGTGGAGGCATAGGGGAAAAGGAGAAGGAAAACTTACCATGCTCATCTCTTGCCTGTCTGCAAGACAAGATTTCCCTATCAGCCTGCAAAGGAAACAAAGGCCTCCAGCAGAGGGCGGCCTTCAGAACGGAGTGGAGGGCTGGCTGGGTGTGACTGTTCTCAGGAAAGCGGGAGGGGAAAACTATCCTTCCACCCACTAAGGCCTTTACTGAGGCGCTCAACCCCTACCCCAACCCTTCTCCAGTAAGAACACACCAGTGATAAATATGATGCCTTCAATTTAGGTCGGTGGCTTTGTGTTAATTTCTCAATTCACCTGAGAATGGGATAATTTCCCAGGAGACAAATAATTATTGTTCCCATTTTTATAAACTCTAGGTAGACCTGTGCTATGCCCTTTTAAGCTTAAACAAACACTCTAAGATGTAAACAGATGTAATAATGACATTCATCATACTACTGGAAAGGCAACTAATGGACTACATACCTTGAAATTCTCTCTTGCCTTTACTAATGAATCACCTTATCTTTATAGAACTCTGGAATACTCACACCTTAAAAAAAGAATGAAGATTCCCAAATCTTATCCTCACTGTATCTAAATCCAGAGGTAGGAAATTCAGGTCTACAATGTTGCATGTCTAGGAATAAACCTTTATGGATAAAGAGTCCTCATATATACATAATTATCTTTTCAAGTTCCCAGCTAAGTACTTTCATGCATCATTCCACCTAAATAGCAAGGCAGAATGAAAAATTAAGGAGAGCAGATATATATATATATTTTTTTTACCAATCTTAGTATGGAAATTGTATTCCAAGTCTGTATCTGACTCATAAGAGGGTTACACATTCCATGTTCCATCCCTCAATATGAGCCACTCTCCTGTCCACAGTCTAAAAATATTTATACTTTATGAGGATGCTGCCAATCACAAGCCCACTAATAACCTTACAGTGAAGGGATTTTGCACAACATTAGAGATTTGCAAGCAACCACCATGGGCCTTGAGACTGGGCTCTGAGGCTGCTCCCGCCCAGCTCTGCACCTTAGTTTTCAGAACTGCAACATCACAGACCTCCTCAAGAGGGCAAGTGTTTGGGAGAATGACAACTCCTGCAGCAAACAAGTGTTGAGCCAGAAAAGGTAATCCTTAGGACATACATTCTCTATTGTACAGCATATGAATTCCTGTGACCACTGCAAACAGTAATAACTGAGAATAACAGTGGGAAAATTTCTGAAGATAAAAGATTTGGACACCATTTGGAAGGATGACAAATGGTGTTCTGTAGACTCTATGGCTGGGGTGCTGAACAATCAAACCAAGCTAATTCCTAAAAGTAACTACCTAAAAATGAGCACAGCTCTGTGAACACTCTGCAGCTAGGCTTGCTCTCATTTTCCTAAGACACAGCACAGTTAGAGGAAAGCAGGCCCAATCACATAATGATTTAAGAATTAGTCTTGTACAGGGAAGAAATGCAGGGTATTTGCAAGTCAGCCCACCTTAAACATAATCTTGTGGTCAAACAAAGTTCAACTTCTTCTATATCAGATTCTAGGCAAAAAAAACCTGCCCCAATGAGTCTGGGACAAACCTGGCAGTGGAACAAGAACAGAGCATATAAAACTGTCAATGGTGAGACCATGGGAAATGAATTCCCTGGAGCTGGTGGGAGTTTCGCATGAATAAGCCCTGGTGGACTGAATCCTAAGGGATCTATGAGCAGAGATAGGCAGGAGAACCTGAGACTATTAAACACTATATAGACAAGGGCCAGAAATGTTCTCAGACCCACTAATGGGCACTTTGACACTTATGCTACAGAAAAACTTACCCACATTTGCTCCTACCTGAATAAGCTGTCAATGTTACAAAAATGAGACCCATATTAGTTACTTTGGAGAAGTGCTTCCTCTCCAGTTCAGGCACAGGAAAGCATAACAATATCTCTTGACTTTGTTTAAATGGGAGAAATAAAAGTGAAACAACTTATTCAAATACAGATGGTGTATGATCACAAACATCTTCACAAGTACATAGAAGTGGCTTTTGTGGTGTTTCCTAAATTCCTTCTCTCCACTGCAGTCTGCTTCTAAGAGATTTCTTAAGAGATACATTTACAGGGTCTATTTTAAATGGTCTAATGCACAAGTAGGATACTGAAACACATGCAATAAATATTCTTCTCTATTATTTTAGCAATCAGCTTTCAGGCACAGCTGACTTCAAACAATAAATTCAACGCCTTCCCATAGGGCCAGGGGAGGATGATTCTGGCATTGGCCTATCTGATCCTAAGGAGCGCACAGGGACCCCTCAAATTCAGTTTCAGGAGCTGAAAGAAGCCAGTCCCATGCCAACACCAAAACTGAACAGCCGGGAGCTTTCCACAGCCACAGGCTGTTTCTGAAGTCCCATAGGTGTCAACCAAAGGGCAGTAAAACAAACGGGATTTTTATCAGCTGCTTTTTCAGGAGATGTTGGAAAGCAAACCTGATCGGTATTTTGGGAGGGAGCGGTGGTTCTCCTTCATCTAAATAATCTTCACCCCCGCCCCTTTTAAAACATTTTAAAAACTGTTTTTCAAACTTTTATTTAGAAGTGAATGCATGAGGAATGTCCACAGACTGAAGAAGAAATATTTGCTTCCAACAATCATTGATAGTTCAGACAGTAGTTTCTAGGCAAGCCCATGGTCATCAACGAAGAAGGCTCTAGAGAAGATCCTGTTCCTCAACCTGTGTCTGCTGCACGTCCCTTACTGCTAAGGTGAGTGCACACTCACATGCCCAGCGTTAAAAATTAATGCTCAGTTCTTACATGAATACACATGTGCAAACTCAAGGAAAGTAAGAAGTGGTGGTGTATGTGTGTGTGCGTGCGTGTGTGTAGGGCTTGCCCAGAGCAGGCTCTTTCTCTATTCACACCAGCACCCAAGATAGCACCTTCAGCACTTCCTTGCCCTGTCCGCTTCACGGGGGCCACCGCCTGAATCCCAAGTCCTGCAGCCCCTAGGTGTCCGCGGAGCCCCTTCGGGCCGCAGCTCCCGGCCTCCAGCCCCGAGGGCGGCGGGGCCGAGGCTCCAGGCGCCCGGCAGCCCGCAGCTGCCCGCCCCGCGCCCCGGCCCTTTGTCCCGCTGCTCTCCGCCCGCACCCCGCCCGCCCCCCGGGCGCCCGCACTCACCCGCGCCCAGCGGCCCTCCGGGGCCGCGCTCGCTGCGCCTCAGACAGGTGTGGGCGCCGGGAGGGCGCGTGCGGCTCCCATGCCCGCTCCGCCGCGCGACCGAGTGCCGGCGGGCGGGCGGGCGGGCGGGCAGCGCCGGCCACGGGCGGGTCCGCCCCCCGCGCCTCCCGAGGCCCGCCCGCCCCGCCCCCGGCCTGGGGAAGCCGCGCGGCCGCCGCCCGCTCCCAGCCCGCCGCGGCGCCCTCCGCCCGCCGCCCGCCTTTGGCCGCGCCGCCCCGTGCAGGTGGGCCCCGCGGCGCCAGCCCGCGCCGGCTCCCCTGGAGGCCCTTCAACCTGCCGGCACCGCGCAGCCCCGGGGCGCGGGCGCAGCCTCCCGGGCGAGCCGAGGGCCTTCGCTGCCTGGAGTCGGCGCCTGCTCGCGAAGCCCAGGTACCCCCCGAAGGCGACTCTCCCACCCCAGCCCGGAACTGGGGCCGCGGGCCGCACCTGGTCGAGGGGAGCCCCTCGCCAAATCTGAAGAGTTGGCGAAACACCCATGCGCCCCTCCTGTGCACCTGAGAGTTTTTAGGTGATGACTTAGTTCCTGTCCTTGCTCTTTATCAGGGCACCAGCTGGTGGAGCCACCTCCTTGCCCAGTGGGCCTGCTTCCTGGCGTCACTCCTAGGGGGCCCCAGCTTGGAGTCTTCCCCTAACCAGGCTGGTGCCTGTGCCGTTTAAGAACCTAGTGCTAGAGCCATTCTCTTCTCTCTCACGTACATCAGTATTTAATATAGAATACCATTTCTGGAGAGCCTTCTGTGAACCAGGTTTACATACAGACCATTGATGGTGAGGAAGGTGCAGGTTATCACTATTTTACTGATAAGAAGCAGAAGTTTAGAGAAATGCAGTGACTTGCCCCACTGCATTAAGCCCACATGTTTTCTACCAAGCCTCTCAGCTGTTCTTTCTCCCATCAAAGCCTGCTCTTAGGAAAGGGGGATCTAACATACTATTTATTACACACTAAGGTTTTAATGACATACCTAATGTGTGTTTGCAAATAAATACGAAAGCCCTGAACACATTATTGTGTGGTTTTTCTTAAATGTGAGATAAATTCTCGACTATTTTAAAGGCAAAATATTTCTTAGGCCTTCCCAGTATTGGCTTGAATTATTTTCTTTTAAAATGTTGCCTTGCTATACTTAAGCCAGACTTAGGTTATAGCTTTTGAACAATTCTGGAATGAACAAACTTACAAATTAAATATAAGAATCCCCTCCCAGAAGGATACAGTTTAGTAATGTTTACTCAACTATTAGCACAGTGTGGTACTGACTGCCCACATGTGGGGACATTTGAGTTCTGTGTGGCTCTGCCACTGTCATGTGAGGTGCCCTGTATTGACTCAATTTTCTCACCTCTTTCCTTGGTTCCAGCTACCATACCTCCTTTGCTCACACCCTTTCTCATTGTAATACTTGACTTTCACTTGATTCTAATACATCATTTAGAGATTAACTCGGTGCTAATTCCTTTCTGATCAGCATAATGAGGGAAGTGGTAACTCTGGTGCCCAGGCATAGCACGCACAGGCACTGAAGTCACAAGGCAGTACTTGGTATCAGATAGTTACCCTGATGATCCAGAATGTGTTCATATTCCATGTTTATCATAAATATGAGCAAAGTTTGATTACGGATCTCCAAGGGTAGAGACACACCATGGAAAGTGAAATACCTTACTTAACAGAGGATTCAGGGTGGAGCTGGAAGGAGGGGAAGAAGGGAGAGACTCTGAACCGTGCTCAAGTCTTATTAGTTTTACTCCAATTCAACAAATTCTTATTGAGCACCTGTTACATGCAAAGCATTGTGCTAGCTCCCCAATTAAAGAGAGGGCCGCAGGAAGACAGTACAGCAACACAGTTGAGAGTGCATTCAACTATGTGAGCACAACTCCTGGCTCTCCTGCTTACTAGCTGTGTGGTTTTTGGCTTGACCTTTCTGTGCCTCAGTTTCTTCCTCTGTAAAATAGAGACTACTTCCATAGGGTTGTTTTACACACAAAATGCTTAGCGTATTGCCTAACACAGAGTAAGCCCCATAATAAAGATTAGGCATTGTTAAATCTGTTTTGAAAAAAACAACGTGCTTTAGGCTGGTTTCAGAGCGTCCTCTTTCAGGGCCACATCAGCCCTTGTTGATACTCATTGCTCATTTGTCCTGGCAGTTTAAAAAAAAAACACTGTAGCCAATTTTGGGGAGATAGGATTGTGGAGAACAAGATAATTATTCCCATTAGTCAGAGAAACGGAGGCGCAGAAAGACCCAAGAGCATATCCTTCCCCTATTGCCACTCCCATGGCGGGTCTCAGCCCTGGTGCTACAGACCCAAACCAGGGCTACAGCTGCAGATGACCCGTGGGAGCTCAGGGCGTGAACAGGCACCATGCCTTCTGTTGTCTCCTGGAGCTGTCAATAGTAAAATGACAAGGTTACTACCTGGCTGTTAGGTCATCACTGTAATTGGCGAAAGGACAGCAGGAATAACGGATCTGCAGAGTACTCTGAGCTCTAAGGGAAATGTCCTGTGCAAATAGCTGGTGTCCTCATGCTGGGCCTGTGTTTGCTTTTCTTTTTGTACTTGCTTCTCTCCCACCCTGAAAACACAAACACAAAAATCCCCAAACCCTTGCTGCCTCTTAAGAACTCAATTTAATTTCATGATCATAATTCTCAAATACTTTTTGTATGCCTAGTGATTGAGTTGTTAAAAATACATTCCAGGCAAGGCCCGCACATTTACTGAGTGCCCACTCTGTGTAAGGTGATTATGCAGTGGTTTTGGGAGACAGAATGCAAATATCCCCCACCTCAAGTGATCTATGCTATGGATATAAACAAAACAAAATCAAATATAGGGGAAAGTGAAATATAGGCTGGATCAAGCTACAGCTAGAGAACATGGAAGAGGGAATCACTAATTCCCACTTGACAGGTGCTGAAGGTTTCCATGAGGCGGTAGAATTTGAGCCGAAGCTCAGAAGATAATGATCTAAGCAAGGCACCATCAAGCATCGAGTTCCTCCAGTGTATAAATGAGAAAATCAGTGGATGCACCAAGAGGGCAGAACCAGAACTGGACGGTAGTAATTACAGATATGTTTATTGAGTGCATGCTATGTGCCAGGAAGCATGGGATGTATTTGATTGCATGTCATCCTCAAGACCCATAGAGAAATAGGGACTATGATCATCCCCATTTGTCAGATGAGGAGACTGAGTCCAAAGTGGTTAAATAGGATACCCAGTGCTGTATTACTAAGTAACACAGCTGTGACTTCTGCGTAGTCTGTCCCCCTCTTTGATCAGGCCCTGCTGTGTTATCTTGCTTCCTAGACCTGCCTTTTGTTGAGCTTAGGGACAGAAGGTTGAATGAGTTGCTGATGTCCCTCTAGCTCTAGACATCCTTTTGATTCTGCCTCACTTTTGTCCCCATTGTGCAGTCACTGAGTAACGGCCTGCACAACGGCCTCAGAGCGGCAGACAAGATAATTGGAAACTTGGGGGAGGTGAGGGACCCAACACTAACTCTAAACCACTAAACTCAATTTTAGTGCTTATTTTTCATTAAGTTGTTTTAACAATTCAAGCCAGTTTGAAAATTATCAAGGAGGATTATTTCTAAGGAGATAGATTTACATGTTCAAAAATCAGTTCCATATGGCTTATTACTGTGGGGATAATATGGATCTAGTAGTTTTCTCAGCAAGTCAGGGGACTTCAGCTCCCTGTACTGAGTGAAAAGTGAAGTAGAATGAGAGACGACACAGGTGATGGGGGGGATTCCAAACCTGTCTGTGTGACCTTGGGTAAGTCACCTCACTTATCAGCACTATTTCTACCTGTAAAAGGAGAGCCTAGGTAACCTGCTCTTACAGTCTTTTGAATCTATGATTATAATCCTTACAGGAGGATGATCAACAACTTTTATCTTTTGGGCACCCCTACCGTGGGGCCCTGGGGTAGCAAAGAAGGTGGAACTCTGGAGTCAGACTGACTTGGATTCAATTTAGAATTGATTTAATTGCTGAGTGACTATAGGCAAGTATGTGACCCTCTGCACTTCACTTTTCTCATCTGTACGCTGGGGCCAATGTAGAACTGTTGTAAGGACTCAGTGAGATAATCAACACAGAACTTACAGCACAGGGCTCAGAACAAAATAAATTCTAAATTGGCATTACCTGTTATTAATATTAGCAGTAGTATACTCCGAAGAATGCTCAATTAATGTTTCAAAATTTGTTGAGTGAATGATGAATCAGTAAATGAATCAAATTGTTATAGCTTCAGTGCTAAAATGGTTAATCCAGGCTTTCTAAGAAGAAATTACCTCAGGACTCCTGTTAAATCCCCAAATCTTCTTATCATACATCTGGTATATAGACAACAAAGAGTTTCTCAGTACTGAATTTAGGAAAAATTACAGATTCAGATGGGAGCCAGTGCTGTATTTTTGTGTCTCCTCTTCCAGTCTCTCCTATGGCACCATTAGTTTATGTATTCAACAAACATCTCTTAAACCACTAATACTGTCATTTGTATATACTAGAGTTTTAAGGGAAGAATCAATTTTTTTATGGTAGGTTTAAAAATCTTACATGGTAAAAAATAAAACCAATGATAAACTTCCATAATTTTTTTAAAAAAGCTAACAAAAAGAACCACCAGAGAAGTCTTTATAGTACTTAAAACAAATGTACTTGTATTTCACTTAAAACTTAAAAAAATATATTCCTGCTTTTGATAAGTATAGATTACTCATTTCAAGTGTTTAGAAAAATGGTTGGCACACTGAATATAAATATGTGTAAGTATAATATATAAAAAGCTTAGCATATATAGCAGTTGTAGAATTCAATTATCACATTAGTACACATGGTACCCTAAAAGAAAAGCTGCACAGAAATGAAAAAACTTTGCTTTAGCACTACTCAAAAGATTGCTTTAAAAAGCCATTAAAAATTATCAGGGGGGAAAAAAAAGACAAGCTTTGGCACTAGCAATTTCCTGTATACTGTGGGCACTATTCTAAACTGAAAAATCAGAAACTGTGTGTTTCTCATTTTCTCTGGTCAAATTCAGAAAGTCCCCAGAGGCCAGCACTGGGCTTCCCTGATGCACTCGAACTTGCATGCTGGATCTCATGGTCAAGAACAAAAAGAAAAATAAAGGTTTCTTTCTCGTCTCTTAATTCAAAGAGAGGCAGCAATGCTACTGGCCGTGACATAGACTTTAATAACCTTTTTGATAGTCTCTTTACATTTATGTTATGAAATGCTCTCTCAGATTTCTGTAACTTTAGGAGGCATTTATAGAGAATTCTTTTGTTTTTAATTTATATTTATCCATAAATTACTGGAGCCTCTCTCTTTTCCGACTTATAAGGAATAGGCTTTCATGTGGTTAATTATGAGGTCTGCATATCCAAAATTCAGTGTCTTTCATGAGGTTTCTTTTTCCTTTTGCAAATTTATTTAACCTCCGAGTTCAAATATCATCTTTTCTCTGAAGTCTTCCTAAACCTTCATTGCCACATACTTAAGTTCATTATCTGTGTTGTCAGAGTATTATGTTAAGATTATATCTTATAACTATATATTTTCATTTGCAACCTCAAGTAGTCCAGAGCTCCTTATGAGCAGAAATTATGTCTTGTTTTTCTTTCTAGTTTTTAGGTTTTTTTCCCCTATAGTCTGGCCCAGAGCCTGGCTCATAGTAAAGGCTTAATGAATTTTTATTTTATAAATGATTGAATGAAATAATCACTAGAATTCTAATTAGCTTAAAATATCAGGTCTGAAATGATTTGGCTTTCCAGTTGCTAGGAACAGGACACATTTTATAGAAAATTTTACTACCAGCATTCCAGCATTTTCCAGGTTGTAAATCTGAATTTTTGTTTGATGCCTATTCACCATCCTTTCCTTACATGTCATGTCAAGATAAAGAATTCAATTTCCGTTTGGCCTGCTAATTGTATTTATCTACTCACACTATAGGTATACATTGCAGGAATCATTTGCCCTTGACTTGTGACATTTCCACTGACTTTCCGCAACCCTTTGGAATATGCTCTGAATTCTGGCTGCCCCAGTGTGTTCTGATTCGCTCTGCCAGGAACTCCAGCAGGATTGTAGAATCTTGTTGGACAGCATGTGTTGCCCATGCTCTATTTCCTCCCACACTTTTGGAAGATGTTAATAGGTTACCCATGAAAAAAAAGTAGCCAGATATGCATATGAGCATTTCAAATGCTCTGAGAAGTCCTGAGCAGAGAATCCTGGTTAAGCTCTTTTATCTCAAAGTTACCTAATCTTGTTTGACATGAACTTTTTTCAACATAGTAGTAACACTTAATAGGACAGTAGGGTTCTGTAGGACACAGTTTGAGAAACACCATCCAGAAGCCTACCCCACTTCTGGGATGGAACCACTGCTGTGCCTGACATGTGGTTTGTGCTTTTTTGCCTCCGTGCCTTTGCTTGTATTTGAAACCCCTTCATATCCACTTGTCTCAATTCTACTCCTTTTTGAAAGACTTAACACAATGTCACATCCTTTACAAAGTATTTCTGTTGGCCATTGATTCTCCATAACACATTCTACAACTTTCTCATGGCTTTTATAATTTTAGTCACTAATGTGCCTTTCCTCTCCTCAGCTACTGAATACTGTGGGTTTGAATCTCTGGTCTGCAACTCTTTTGCTGGATCCATCAGTTGAGGTCTTGACAGGAATGCAATTTGCCCTTGATTGATTCAAATGAAGAGACTCTAATAAAATGGCTACTATGGAAGTGAGGACAGGGCTGAGGAAACAAACAAGGACTGGGAGCACTGGACGGGAGGCAGAAGGGAGGGCTGCAGCAGAGCCCTGTGAATGTGAGCTCCTTGAGGGGCCCCTGCCAGGAGCTATGGCTCATGGAGCAAAGCAGCTACTTGCAGGAATCTGGTGACCTCTCCTCTTCCCACCCTTTGATCTCTGGAGGCTGCCAAAGTCAGCTCACAAGGAAGCTGTGCTGTGCTGTCTGCAAGGCTCAGCCTCACGGTCACAGAGCAGGGCAGTGAAGAGCAGTGGAGGATTGCTGGGGGAGACAGACAGGATAGCCAGTGCACTGGGGCAGCCTGCTTCCTCATTTGCAAAACTGGATAATGACAGTACACCCCTCACAGGCTAGTGAGATTAAATTAAGAAATGCATAAAAATATTAATATGTTGTTTGGTGCCTGATTTTCCAATTATGTTAGCTACTCATTATTATTATTTTTGACTAAAACCACTCTATGGTTAGCTACCAGTATCAAAATCTAATTGAGGATGGTATCACGCATTGTTATTTTGTAGCCCTTACATATCTAGCACAAAACCCCACTTGCAGCAAGGCCCAAAATGGACGGCATTTTGTAGGTAAATAGGGAGCTTTTTGGGGCAGAGATAGTGGAGAAGCCAGGTTAGCTGTTTTGACTGTGACATTAGCCAGTCTGACCTTGAAAACAGACAATAGGGGGCTAAATTTGAGACTAATTTTTAATTTCCAGCAGATTGTTCACGCACATCATAGACACAGTATGAGGCCCCTAGCTTTCCTTCACCTAGGTCGAGGAAAGAGTTGCTAAAAGACAAGCCAGCTGGCCAGGACTAGCACCTTACAGCCATCCCTGCGAAGAGCAGCGATTTCTCATATTTTGAAAGCAAAGTCAGGATGGCCAGCCCAAGGGTAAAGTAGATTTGTATCTATAGAAGCAATTTGCTTCCTGTTCTTTCAGATCAGTAACCTGTTTTATTTCAAACACAGGATCACCTGGCTCCCGCTGCCCTCAGTAAACAGATTAGGGAAACCACAAGAGTAATCATCTGTGTTCTTTTCACTTCAAAGCCTGCAGAACACCGTGCAGGGCTTGCTCTCTGCCTGGTTCCAGCAAGGCCGGTGCAAGAGAAAGCCCTTTCATGGGATCTGGGGGCAGGGATGTGGGAGGTGGGACTTACCTTCATGAAGGCAAACGGATGTCAGAGCTGGGAGCCACACAGGCGCCCCCACTGCAGCTTGTGCTCTAGGAGCACGGGCAAGTTCAGAAGGTGA